GCTTACCTACCCGTTAAGCAAGCTTAATCCTGTGAGGACATATGTATACTTAAAGACCACTTTGTATCCAAATTTATGCATCCGCCATAAAATGAACTAAAGGAAAAACAAAGAATCACGTGTACCCCGAGCCCGACCCCAATAATTTATTAATTTTCCCACGGGTATTCGGCCTCCACTGATTTCCCTCTATACAGCTTGCACGTATCCTGGGCGACTGGGAGATCCCGATTCCCTTGTTCGACGAAGCGTTAAAATGCCACCATTAAAAATCAATGTTTAAAGATTTATGAGCTTGACAAAGTGTTAATTACCAGGTAAGAGCAAGGTTAAGGTGTAGGGCGGAGGAGAAGCTGGGCACACGAACGTAATAACGAATAATCCGGAAAGCTACCAACTTGACCTATGGACTTTAACCTCTTGTTTACTCGATTCAACCTTTTTTATCTCTGCTCCTATCTGTTTACGGAGAGACGGCAAAATAAATTGTTACATTTGTGTCGTTGTACAAATATATTTTGGGAACGAAAAGCTATTAATATTCATCAATAATTCAGTAATTGATAGTTGGTACACGAATAGTGAATTTAAATGGGTCAGTCTAAATAAAAACTGTTTGAGTTCAAATTGAACAAGTAAAAAGTACATACATAATTAAATACTTTGATTGCTGTGAGAGTAGAACAAAAAAGTGTGACAGGGCACTATGGGAAAAAAGTCTATTTTTTTGGCATAAACTCTAGTTTTAGGGATACAATTTAGAAATTTTGTATTTATACTATTAAGATAAAGCTGTAATTTCTGTTTTTGTTGCTTTTTGAATCGGACCATTGTTTTCATCCACCGCCCACGCCGCATATTCAAATTAATTGGCAGGGATCTTAAAAAATTTGTATTTGTATTGGTAAGACGGTAAAATAATTTCAGTTTACGTTAATTTTTAAAATTTGTCAAAAAAAAAATTGGTGACATGTACAAGAAAAGTGAAATATTATCTAAGAGCAGATGCCAATTTTAGCTTTAACGGGGGTCCAGCTTCTTTATATTTGAGTCCTTTGCAGCCAGGATTTTCACTTGACTTGCCCCTTTCCATGAATTCAATTTTTAAGATTAATGAAAGCCATTTAGATTGTTTTTTATTTAAAAAATATTTTTTTTTATGTTTATAAGTTGCTGGATTTAAGTCATTTTTTTTAAGAAACGTGCAAAAAGTTGCAAAAATTATTATTTTTGCGATATAAAGGATACATTTGGTAATAACTTTGCGTTTTTACCTTTTTGCAACTTTGTGCCATTTATAAGTTGTACACCTCGAAACACAAACAAACTTGTTAGTTTTAAGCTAAAAAGATACACCTTTAAAACAGTTCACAGTTGGACAACAAGCCATAATAATCAAAACATGTAATCTAAGATACATTTATAAATACCTTTGCTACGATTTGACATGATCAGAAATAATAATCCTTTTTGTTGCTCCACAAAATAAGCACTAAAAGTTTGCAAAGCTTTTTCACTTATTAACGCACACAACAAAGTCAATCGAACAGCTGACTTTGTTCGCTTATCAACTCTATAGTGTTGTTAGTAAAAAATCTTAGATAACTGTTCTTGGCTAATTAGGGTATGTAAATTCACAAAATATATTTTATTTTTAAAAATAATTTGTAAAATAAGTTGATTTTATGCCAAAAAAATTGACTTTTTTCCCATAGTGCAGGGGTTAGAAAGCCAATTATTTCACAAGATTTTAAAGTATTTAAAGCTGGAAATCATTCGTAAAAGTTATAGAAATAACGACAACAATTAATTTTTTAAGATCCAAAAATTACATTTAGTTTAAAATGAAATACCTAATTGGAGATAGATATTTTATAACTGGACGTAAGTTACCATCAACTCGTTGTTTATTTTACTGTCAAAACATATCCCTTTATCCGCTTTAAACAACCGCCTTAATGTCGAAATAAAAACCTAAAAATGTATCAAAAAATGCAGGTTGATGTCGTGTATCCCAAATTAAAATAGAATTCGCGGCCGTCGAGAAAAAAACCGGCGAAAACTTTACTTTTAATCAGACCAAAATAAAACGAGCGAAAATAAAAGCAAACAAAATAGCAGGGAAACAGGCGTCAGGATGCCAAGACACCAAAGAACAAAAAATAACTATAGAGAATGGGAAGCCGAAAAGTAACAGAAAATGGGGAAAGACGAGCTCTCATAATTCCACGGCCAAAAGGAAAATTCAACGACAGCGGCAAGGAGTGAAATAGGAAAATCAACAACCGAAAAACGTAAAAAATGCCAGCCAGCAGTTTTCCGTTACTTTTACTGTCGGCTTTTTTGTTTGTTTCTATTTTCATATATTTTGTTTTACTCTATTTTCATTTTTTTGTTGTTGTTGTAGTTCACCCACATAAGCTGCTAGGGACACGTGAGGTTTCTCAGCGACGAAAGTACGAAATATGTGTGATGGAACATACAGTATAAATATATGTAAGTATGCAGTCTGTGTGCGTGTGAAGGACGCACGAAACGCCTTAAATATGCTTCAACTACTAAAGAAGCCATAAAGCAACAGCCAACAGTCAAACAGGCTACCGCAGGAATAAGCCCGCGACGCTCCACCGCCGCCACTTCATCGCTAACTTTTCATCGGCGTCGCAATGGGAACACCTTGTCCTATCCAGGATGGCTTGAACTGGGCTTGATACCCAACCATTTTGCAAGACCCCGTATGAGTTGCAGGGGAAATACGGGTGGAGTAACAGGGATGTTAAAATGTCGGTTGCAAGGGGTTCTTAAAAGTTCTTAACGGAGAAGCAGCCCTTTCTGGTGTTCCTTTATGTAAACATCAAACAGCAGGAAATATTTAAATCATTTTCTCTGAAATGAAAATAATTTAATGGCTGAATGAGAAATTAATTTAAACATTGCAGTACACAAGTCGTGATTTCAATTCAAAGCACCTTATTATTTTTTTCATTCTTAAACCCATTTTCATACTAAGGACTTTTTAACGGCTTTATGTTCCTTAACTTTAAATGCAGGGAAGTTTTTGCAGCTCTTAGGGGTATCTTTACATTATAGGGTAGTTTTAGCAGATATGCCTTACCTGTTGACGTTTCGTTATGAAAATTAGAGCCCTGCACTAGTTTCGCGCGAGTTTATTAATTCGAGTTTGTATTTTTCAAATATGCCTTGATAGAAATAACACCAAGAATATGTCAGAAGCGAAGACTGTGGAATCTATAGAGCCCATAGATACACAGATAATTCTATAAGGATTTTGGTCACCACAACACTTATGGATTGACTGGGTAAGCAAATGGTTTCGTGTGTGCTGAAAACTATCCCACAAAGTCAATCACAAACTTAGTGGTTACTACGGAAGTACTGTCCCTCAACAATAAAAAAAAACTAAAATACAAAAAAAGGTCGATATTAAGTTCTTATAATTTATTACCTTACATTTTAATCATGGCAAAAGAAGCCGCAAATATTTCCTTTTAATATTAAATATCCTTTTTACAAATAGTAAGTGGCGCCATCCTACGATATCCTTTAAGCTCCTGCAAAAAAATCCTCTACCGTTAGTAAGTGGCGACATCATACGATTTGTCGTTAAATGATCCAATAAGTTGGCAGGAATATCCATAAAAAGTGGCCCATTATAAGATTCGGAAGGATATTCGAAATGCCAGAAATATTTCCTGTTAATATTAAGTATCTTCTTTACCAATAATAAGTGCCGCCATCCTACGACATTCTTTAAATCGACTGGCCTGCCAACTCCTGGAAAAATGTCCTGTACCGTAGTAAGTGGCGACATCTTACGATTTTTCGTTAAAGGATCCAATGAGTTGGCCGGAATACCCTTAAAAAGTGGCGCCATCATAAGTTTCGGAAGGATATTCGGAAAGCAGGAAATATTTAAATGTCCTTTTTACCAATAGTAAGTGGCGCCATCCTACGATATTCCTTAAATCGACTGGCCTGCCAACTCCTGGAAAAAAGTCCTGTACCGTAGTAAGTGGCGACATCTTACGATTTTTCTTAAAAGGATATAACAAGTTGACAGGGGTACCATTAAAAAGTGGCGCCATCATATTTTCCCTTTTAATTTTTAGAAGGATATTTTTTCAGAAATATGTAGAATTTGTTAATGTATTTCTCAAATTTTATTAAAATGTTGGTAAATATTTTGTAACCCTATTACCATTCCGTAAACGTGACACTCAATATTTGTCCTGTTAACAATAAATATTCCCTTTACCAACACACAGTGGCGCCATTCTACGAGATTCTTTAATTCGTCTGGCCAGCCAACATCGTGCGATTATTTGTTAAAAGACCATAGTATTTGGTAGAGATTACCTTGAAACATAGAGCCATCATACTATTATTTGTATATCGTATTAAAATGTTGGAAATGTCGAAAATATTTGAAAAAATAATTTCGGTTGAGTCAAATATAACAACCCGTATTTTATTATGTTTTTCTTTGTGTTTGCATTAAGCGGGGTCCAAAGTAAACGCGAAGGATATTGATTTAATTTTTAAACCCAAGCTATTTGAAATTAAGGAATTCCTCGCGAAAAACTCTTAATCCGGCCATAGGGTCTTTTTTTTCAGACTTGCAGGGTTCTTATGGTGAGGCCTAGCCAGATGTCCATTTCCAATATTCGAGATTTAATAATTCCTATTCGCGAAGAACTCTTCTTAATCCTTATAGGTCATAAAAATTTGGTTTACTCGTTCGTATTTGCAGGTTTCTTATGGATAGGGTTTTCCAGATGTGATTTTTCTTAAAAGCTGTTTGACCTGACAGGGATTTATCTACCTGTCCGTGTTATAGGTTCAATTAAAAGCAGCTGGTTCAACTTTATACCTATGACCATGAAAGTACTATTTCATTTGTTACCTAAGCCACTTTGGTATCCTAACTCGTATATAAAATCCACTGCATCGAAACACCCATCATCAGTAACTTACTAATCATGGCCCGTCGAACACAGTCGCGCTTTATCTTCGATATCGTGGAAAACTCAAGAATTTTTCGACATCAGTTTTTCGTCAACGGTTCAAGGAGGGCGGAATGTACCACCTGCGAAAGTCGTGTTCCCGCCAGCGAACCGTACAGTTATCACTGGCGAAATGATATCAAGAACAACAGAAACTATTGCATTCAATTGGGGCCCGAGGAAAAACAGATCCTGAAGACAATCGAGGATCAGGCCATCGAAGAGTTTATCCTATGCGATGGAAGCATCACAGCCAGGACCAACGACTTTCTTTTGGATTCTGGGATAGATGCTGTTCCTCAATTACTGAGATTCCTAAGTTTTGGTACCGACAAATTGGAGGCATCTGTAGGATTCTATGTGGACGTGAAAAAGGAACGCATGTACTACGAAAGCAGTCCTTTAAATATTGAACACCACCTGGATATTGGCGAGGCGGTCGATATGATATTCTCAATGCTGCTGGAGAAGATTAGTAACTATGTGCTGATCCATCAAAAAGTTCCCTTGGAGGCGTGCGTTATCAGAAGAATGAAGGTGACTGTGAAGAGATTTTGTCACTCCCCCAAGGGAAAATCCCTATCTGTATCCAAGCTTCCTCTCCAATATCAAGTGAAAAATGCAGCCGAATGCCTTGGCAGCGAAAGTAATAAATCGTCCTCCGATTTGCTCAAGCTTGCTGAAACTTATCTTACTCAAGAGGTCCCTGGTCGACCTATTCCGCCCAACCTGAAGTTAAACCTCTACAGTTTTCGGGTTTGTAGCACCTCCAAAGAATTGTATGCTGTACCTTACCTACTTCGGGGAGATGATGTGGACAACACGCCCACCTTTATTATTCAAACGGACGTGACTGGTGAAATCCAGGGTCTACTTGAAGTCCGGAATATACGGAAGTTCCTGAGGGTGGATAGCCAGGACAGAGTCTTCGAGTGCCGCCAATGCCAGTCCCACTTTGTTGACCGGGTTCATTTTGCGCTCCATAAGCAGATCGCCTGTGGACGAAACTTTATGGTGTGGCACATGGACAAGGATGCCATCGAGTTGCACGAGAACTGCCTGCCCTTGCCAAAGGAATACTTCAAGTACGATTGGGTTGGATTGGCCAGCAAACGAGGTTAATCATAATTGTACCGTAGAACAAGAAAATAAATCATTTTAAATGTAAAAATTATTTATATTTATCAACATTTTTGGTTTTGTGTTAGGTCCTGCCAACTGGTTTTTAACAAACCCGCAAGCAGTGCCGGTAGACCAGCCAACTTAGCCATGTGGCATGGTATGATGGTCACCCGGGTCAACGACCCGGAATATTTGAATTCGAAACAACGGATTTCTGACTCCATGGCTGGGCGAAGAGAAAGAGAGCGACAGATCAAAAAAGTTGAAAGTCGAAGAAGGGCGTTTTGGCTGCTGCGCTGCAAAGTTTTTTTTTTTGAAGTTTTAGAAAAGTTAAGTGCAACCGAATTAACGAATTTTAAATCTCCTTGCAACGTGCGACTAGAGCATTCTGCGACTGGAGCATTTTGTGACTGGAGCATTTTGTGACTGGAGCATTTTGTGACTGGAGCATTTTGCGACTGGAGCATTTTGTGACTGGAGCATTCTGCGACTGGAGCATTTTGTGACTGGAGCATTTTGCGATTGGAGCATTTTGTGACTGGAGCATTTTGTGACTGGAGCATTTTGTGACTGGAGCATTTTGTGACTGGAGCATTTTGTGACTGGAGCATTTTGGTAACTGGAGCATTCTGCGACTGGAGCATTTTGCGACTGGAGCATTTTGTGACTGGAGCATTTTGTGACTGGAGCATTTTGCGACTGGAGCATTTTGCGACTGGAGCATTTTGGTAACTGGAGCATTTTGTGACTGGAGCATTCTGCGACTGGAGCATTTTGCGACTGGAGCATTTAGCGACTGGAGCATTTTGCGACTGGAGCATTTTGTTACTGGAGCATTTTGTTACTGGAGCATTTTGTGACTGGAGCATTTTGTGACTGGAGCATTTTGTGACTGGAGCATTTTGCGACTGGAGCATTTTGTGACTGGAGCATTCTGCGACTGGAGCATTTTGTGACTGGAGCATTTTGCGATTGGAGCATTTTGTGACTGGAGCATTTTGTGACTGGAGCATTTTGTGACTGGAGCATTTTGTGACTGGAGCATTTTGTGACTGGAGCATTTTGTGACTGGAGCATTCTGCGACTGGAGCATTCTGCGACTGGAGCATTTTGCGACTGGAGCATTTTGCGACTGGAGCATTTTGCGACTGGAGCATTTTGGTAACTGGAGCATTCTGCGACTGGAGCATTTTGCGACTGGAGCATTTTGTGACTGGAGCATTTTGTGACTGGAGCATTTTGCGACTGGAGCATTTTGCGACTGGAGCATTTTGCGACTGGAGCATTTTGCGACTGGAGCATTTTGCGACTGGAGCATTTTGCGACTGGAGCATTTTGTGACTGGAGCATTTTGTGACTGGAGCATTTTGTGACTGGAGCATTTTGTGACTGGAGCATTTTGTGACTGGAGCATTTTGTGACTGGAGCATTTTGTGACTGGAGCATTTTGCGACTGGAGCATTTTGCGACTGGAGCATTTTGCGACTGGAGCATTTTGCGACTGGAGCATTTTGCGACTGGAGCATTTTGCGACTGGGCATTTTGCGACTGGAGCATTTTGCGACTGGAGCATTTTGGTAACTGGAGCATTCTGCGACTGGAGCATTTTGCGACTGGAGCATTTTGTGACTGGAGCATTTTGCGACTGGAGCATTTTGTTACTGGAGCATTTTGTGACTGGAGCATTTTGCGACTGGAGCATTTTGTGACTGGAGCATTTTGGTAACTGGAGCCTTCTGCGACTGGAGCATTTTGCGACTGGAGCATTTTGCGACTGGAGCATTTTGCGACTGGAGCATTTTGCGACTGGAGCATTTTGCGACTGGAGCATTTTTCGACTGGAGCATTTTGTGACTGGAGCATTTTGGTAACTGGAGCATTCTGCGACTGGAGCATTCTGCGACTGGAGCATTCTGCGACTGGAGCATTCTGCGACTGGAGCATTCTGCGACTGGAGCATTCTGCGACTGGAGCATTCTGCGACTGGAGCATTCTGCGACTGGAGCATTCTGCGACTGGAGCATTCTGCGACTGGAGCATTTTGCGACTGGAGCATTTTGTGACTGGAGCATTTTGTGACTGGAGCATTTTGCGACTGGAGCATTTTGCGACTGGAGCATTTTGCGACTGGAGCATTTTGCGACTGGAGCATTTTGCGACTGGAGCATTTTGCGACTGGAGCATTTTGTGACTGGAGCATTTTGTGACTGGAGCATTTTGTGACTGGAGCATTTTGTGACTGGAGCATTTTGTGACTGGAGCATTTTGTGACTGGAGCATTCTGCGACTGGAGCATTCTGCGACTGGAGCATTTTGCGACTGGAGCATTTTGCGACTGGAGCATTTTGCGACTGGAGCATTTTGCGACTGGAGCATTTTGCGACTGGAGCATTTTGCGACTGGAGCATTTTGCGACTGGAGCATTTTGCGACTGGGCATTTTGCGACTGGAGCATTTTGCGACTGGAGCATTTTGGTAACTGGAGCATTCTGCGACTGGAGCATTTTGCGACTGGAGCATTTTGTGACTGGAGCATTTTGCGACTGGAGCATTTTGTTACTGGAGCATTTTGTGACTGGAGCATTTTGCGACTGGAGCATTTTGTGACTGGAGCATTTTGGTAACTGGAGCCTTCTGCGACTGGAGCATTTTGCGACTGGAGCATTTTGCGACTGGAGCATTTTGCGACTGGAGCATTTTGCGACTGGAGCATTTTGCGACTGGAGCATTTTTCGACTGGAGCATTTTGTGACTGGAGCATTTTGGTAACTGGAGCATTCTGCGACTGGAGCATTCTGCGACTGGAGCATTCTGCGACTGGAGCATTCTGCGACTGGAGCATTCTGCGACTGGAGCATTCTGCGACTGGAGCATTCTGCGACTGGAGCATTCTGCGACTGGAGCATTCTGCGACTGGAGCATTCTGCGACTGGAGCATTTTGCGACTGGAGCATTTTGCGACTGGAGCATTTTGCGACTGGAGCATTTTGTTACTGGAGCATTTTGTGACTGGAGCATTCTGCGACTGGAGCATTCTGCGACTGGAGCATTTTGCGACTGGGCATTTTGCGACTGGAGCATTTTGCGACTGGAGCATTTTGGTAACTGGAGCATTCTGCGACTGGAGCATTTTGCGACTGGAGCATTTTGCGACTGGAGCATTTTGCGACTGGAGCATTTTGTGACTGGAGCATTTTGCGACTGGAGCATTTTGTTACTGGAGCATTTTGTGACTGGAGCATTTTGCGACTGGAGCATTTTGTGACTGGAGCATTTTGTGACTGGAGCATTTTGTGACTGGAGCATTTTGTGACTGGAGCATTTTGTGACTGGAGCATTTTGCGACTGGAGCATTTTGCGACTGGAGCATTTTGCGACTGGAGCATTTTGCGACTGGAGCATTTTGCGACTGGAGCATTTTGCGACTGGAGCATTTTGCGACTGGAGCATTTTGTGACTGGAGCATTTTGTGACTGAAGCATTTTGTGACTGGAGCATTTTGTGACTGGAGCATTTTGTGACTGGAGCATTTTGTGACTGGAGCATTCTGCGACTGGAGCATTTTGCGACTGGAGCATTTTGCGACTGGAGCATTTTGTGACTGGAGCATTTTGTGACTGGAGCATTTTGTGACTGGAGCATTTTGCGACTGGAGCATTTTGTTACTGGAGCATTTTGTGACTGGAGCATTTTGCGACTGGAGCATTTTGCGACTGGAGCATTTTGCGACTGGAGCATTTTGCGACTGGAGCATTTTGCGACTGGAGCATTTTGCGACTGGAGCATTTTGCGACTGGAGCATTTTGTGACTGGAGCATTTTGTGACTGAAGCATTTTGTGACTGGAGCATTTTGTGACTGGAGCATTTTGTGACTGGAGCATTTTGTGACTGGAGCATTCTGCGACTGGAGCATTTTGCGACTGGAGCATTTTGCGACTGGAGCATTTTGCGACTGGAGCATTTTGCGACTGGAGCATTTTGCGACTGGAGCATTTTGCGACTGGAGCATTTTGGTAACTGGAGCATTCTGCGACTGGAGCATTTTGCGACTGGAGCATTTTGCGACTGGAGCATTTTGTGACTGGAGCATTTTGTGACTGGAGCATTTTGTGACTGGAGCATTTTGTTACTGGAGCATTTTGTGACTGGAGCATTCTGCGACTGGAGCATTCTGCGACTGGAGCATTCTGCGACTGGAGCATTCTGCGACTGGAGCATTCTGCGACTGGAGCATTCTGCGACTGGAGCATTCTGCGACTGGAGCATTTTGTGACTGGACCATTTTGTGACTGGAGCATTTTGCGACTGGAGCATTTTGCGACTGGAGCATTTTGCGACTGGAGCATTTTGTGACTGGAGCATTTTGGTAACTGGAGCATTTTGGTAACTGGAGCATTTTGTGACTGGAGCATTCTGCGACTGGAGCATTTTGCGACTGGAGCATTTTGCGACTGGAGCATTTTGCGACTGGAGCATTTTGCGACTGGAGCATTTTGCGACTGGAGCATTTTGCGACTGGAGCATTTTGGTAACTGGAGCATTCTGCGACTGGAGCATTTTGCGACTGGAGCATTTTGCGACTGGAGCATTTTGTGACTGGAGCATTTTGTGACTGGAGCATTTTGTGACTGGAGCATTTTGCGACTGGAGCATTTTGTTACTGGAGCATTTTGTGACTGGAGCATTCTGCGACTGGAGCATTCTGCGACTGGAGCATTCTGCGACTGGAGCATTTTGGTAACTGGAGCATTTTGGTAACTGGAGCATTTTGTGACTGGAGCATTTTGTGACTGGAGCATTTTGTGACTGGAGCATTTTGTGACTGGAGCATTTTGCGACTGGAGCATTTTGCGACTGGAGCATTTTGCGACTGGAGCATTTTGCGACTGGAGCATTTTGTGACTGGAGCATTTTGCGACTGGAGCATTTCGCGACTGGAGCATTTTGCGACTGGAGCATTTTGCGACTGGAGCATTTTGGTAACTGGAGCATTTTGTGA